CTTTTCCAGGGAAGACTCAAATGAGAAGAACAGTTCTCAGACAGGAGGGCGCGCACAGACCTCAGCTATCTGCGCTGTGCAAAATTAGATTGATACAGACTGCGAGTAATGGGAGAGAAACAGGCAGGCCGGCATCATCTTCGAATGGACTGGGGCCGGAATGCCGTTTCACTGAAAAATGGGTAACAGAGGAGGGCTGGGAGGGGAAAGGATTTACCCGTGACCGAGGCCTACTTTCGCTGGTAGAGGGAACAGCCTGGCTAGGTAGGCTCCGCTGCCTAACGCAGGCTTCTGAGAGGCACTGATGGATCTGGGCAACGAACATCTGGACCGTGGCCATCGCTGGGTGCTCTGCACTTGGCCGGACCTAAAAGGAGGTGGGGACGAGGAGCTGAATTGTTTAGGCAACCATTAATCTTTTGCCCGCAGAGTGGAAGTGCTGGACCAAACCCTGGAGGGAGAATGCCTCTCGATCTGCTCTCTGATGACCCCGTGCAGCCCAAAGCTAGGAAGCCGGCCTTGGGGGAGACTCCCTCGAAGTCTTTGAGAGCTGATTTGCGGGGGTCTCAAACGGCCCAGCCGGCTGCTAAGTCTGTGAAAGCAAGAGAACAGAATTCCAAGCACGCCTTCCGTATGGCTTGCTTTCTGGGTTTGTTTTAAGTTGATCTATGGAGAACGGGAATGGCATATGTGTGCTTTAAAAAGCAGCTCCCAAATGTCATGTCCTAACGAAATGCAGCTGGATCTTGTACCAGAATAGGGAGTGAGCTGCTCAGCGTCGTTGCTAAAAAAAAAAAAAAAAAAATGCAACATATTTTTCTCCACTCAGGAAAGCGAGGATCCCGATAGCTTTCCTTATAAGGATGATTTAACAAGATAAGCGAATTCTCAGCACAAGCCAAGCAGTCCTATCTGTGATAAAGGACGAGAATAATGCAGATGAATTTTCAGGGAAATTGGGCCTTTAAAAGAAACTGGTTTCGGGACATAGATATATTTTTTTATTCCCCAATTTAGTTTTAGTTTCTTTTCTTTGTTTTCTAATTACCTCCCTGTCCTTTTAGAAATAACTGGACAACTTATACCTAAAGTATAGCAGCCCTTCCCTGTAGTCCAGGCAGAGTGTAAATCTCTCCTCTTCAGACACCAGCCCTAAAGAGAGAGCAAGCTCTCTTTTTTCTACACCCATCAACTTTGCTCTTCTACTCAGAATTAAGTTCCATGGCCCTGTTCCCAGGAAGGGGTCTTTGGGGCTACCTCTTCAAGAGGCGCAGGTCCTTCCCTTGATCTAAGTGCTTCCATAGAAAAGGATTTAGGTGGCAAGGGTTCGCTCAGCCTGAATCTCTACTTTCACGTAAAATACCCCATCAAAATATGCAAACGGCTCGTCTAAAGTATCAAGAAAACAACCCAGGTTTTTCTTTAATTAGCCTTCGGCTCCTTATTTCCCAAACATTACAATTTCAGGGGACACCATCCATATGGTTTATGGCATCGGCAGCCCTGCTCTCCTATGTCCAGAAAATATCATAAATGTCTTTTGATTTCAGTTTCTATGTCTCTTCTCCCCTTAAAAAAAGAAGAAGAAGAAGAAGAAGAAGAAGAAGAAGAAGAAGAAGAAGAAGAGAAAGAAAGAAAAAAACTCCACATCTGAAAATGTCATCTGGCACCCTGGGTGCCCAAAATACAACCTCCTTCTGTTTAAACCATTTATCCATCTCTGGCAAAACTGAGGCTCTCCATACCAATAAACACCACGGAAACCAAAGCAAATTCAGTGTAAATACAGCTAGCCTGGGACTTCAAGTTAGACCTTTCCTCAGGTTTTTAGAACAGATCAGATCAGTGTTTTTGCCTAAAGCTAGACGCTTTCCAGCAACTTTAATACGATACTATATTATTATTATTATTATTATTATTATTATTATTATTATTATTATTAACGCTCTGTAAAAGAGAAAAGAAGAAGACAAGGATTTATAAAGTATTTCTAGATCTGAGCTATCTAAATTAATGCCTGTGGATCGTTTAAGGATCTCTTCTGTTGAAGGATTCCTTTTTCCCAACTTGAACTGATATTCCTTAGGACCAAATCTCAGAACGTAAGGTTTCTTGAAGAACCTATTGAAGTGGCCACTAATCACCCTATATTTTCTTTTTCTTTTTTTTTAAAGCAGATATTGCACAGGGTGTTATCTGATACCCTTCTGACAAGGACAAACTCCCCACGTTGCTTTTACACCCAGCAATAATGGAGAGATTATTTGTCCTTCTTTTCAAGGCAACCCCGTAGTAGTCCCTTCCTTGTAATAAAGGCTGGAGGCTGGAGGCGGGAGTGGGGGGGGGAGGCCTTCCTCGCTGCCCTGCCTCTCTTTTTTCATTCTGTGGATCTCGCCCGTTGTCCCTCTAATCTGTTGACAGTCTCCCTCCCTCAGATAAACAATCTGCAATCGATCTTTTCATTAGGTGATCAAGTAACAAGCCAAGCAGGTAAAGATCAGAGTGCGAGCAAGCTCAGCTCAGACACCGCAGGCCCCCCGTGGCATTCTCTGTCTGCCGGGCAGATGCAAAGCTCCGGCGAGAAGACGAGGGGCTTAACGCAGCCCCCGCCTAGGCAGACCTCCGCCACCGCCGAAAGGGTCCAAGGACTCCCCTCGGAAGGTGAGTAAGCGCCCGCTCCTCACCGGGAGTGTTTCTTAAGAAAACTCACACACGTACCTGGCGAAACATACACGCCTAGCTCCTACTTGGAGGGGCTCGGTGATTGTGGAGAAAGTTCGGTTAATGTCGTAGAAATCTATTCGTAGATTTGGCCTTTTAAGATTGGGATAACGAGGAAGGTTATTTATTGCACATAGCGCCTGTCCCCCAAGTTTTCCCATTTTCCTATCTCAAGACACCTGCCCCCGTCCTATGCTCCCCACCTACACAGAGAGAGGGGGGAGAGAGAGAAAGAGAGAGACTCTCTCTCTCTCACACACACAGAGAGAGAGAGAGGGGGGAGAGAGAGAGAGAGAGGGAGGGAGAGAGAGGGAGAGAGAGAGAGCTTCGAACCTGTTTGAGGTTGGAAAATCCCAACCAGGCCGGATCTGCTTCTTTTTTCAGCGTCCGGCAGAAGCTAAAGTAGTAGGAGAAAGAGCAGCGGATCGGGCACGGAAACTGTGTGTTGGAAGGCGGAGAAGAGGAGAGAGAGAGGTTTTATAAAATGTTGCCCCCCGTCCAAGTTGCTGCCGGTTTAGTTGAACTCTTGTCAAAGGAGGAAGCGGGGCGGGGAGGGAAAGGGAGAGGACCTCAGCTCAAAAGCAGCTGGGTGCTGCTTCCCAGGGCTTCACTTTTGTCAGAAATACAGGAGGCAGAAAGCAAAATCTACTTGCCTTTAGACGGGGCCAGGGCTGGTGCCGGCCAGCTGAAGGGGATCCGGACTCCGAAGAAACCTCGCCGAGGAGCTGGTGCCTCTCGCAGGCTTCCTCCGGCTGCTTCTTTCTCCCGCTCTCGTCCCTTTCTCCCTCCCTCTTCGCTTTTCTCTTGCTCTGCCTCTTTTTTCCCCTCCGTCTCTCCGCAGTCCGGGGAGTCAAATCTTAGATGATACACAGAGAGAGCTGGGGGTGGGTGGGTGGGCGAGGGTGGGGGAGTGTGTGCGTGTGTGCGTGTGAGAGATTTAATCTTATTCGTTTCACCTTTTCAGTGACCACCAGAATACAGGACCGAGACTTTATTGGAAAAAAGAGGGAGAGAGGCGGGAAGACAAAAAAAGCCCCACTGTTGCATTTTCAATAACATCCTTTTTATCAATGCAACCTACAATAAGGACGGCTTGGCAGGGAAAACTGATTGCGGCGGGAGGGGGGGGGACGACAACGGGGACTGGTGGAGTGGGGGAAGCCACCCTTCATTATTCCACCAGCAAACTGCAAACTGTCTCTTCGGCTTCAGAAAGCGCCTCTTTGCATCTGAGCTCCTGAACTTTCGAAACTAGAAAGGGAAACCCACCCGATACAACTTTTTGCTTCTCGGCAAACAAAAAAAAAAAAAACCGGTATTTAATATCTCAAGAATCGCTGCCTTCTGGCCTTAGAAGTTTTAGAGAAGTTGAGAAGATGGGGGGGAAATGCTGAAAAGGTATCGATCGGAAACACTGAGAGTGTAACGCCTTGGAAGTTAATAAAAATTATATATATATATATATATATTCACTATCTATATGAAATAAATATTTAGCCTTTCAGGCTTTCTTTCTCTCTGGAATTTAAAGGGACAAATAAGATACTTCACAACCACCCTGCTCCTGTATAAAGCCGCTGGGGCTTTTCCCCCTCAGCTCAGGAGAAAGGGGGGGGGCGATATAGACTGCAGTTGGACCTCTCTCTCTCTTCCTGTCCGCTAGATGGCAGCACGATTCAGCGATTCCATTAGCAATGGGGAAGGAGAAGCTGTCCTCCACCCGCCTCAACACACACACACACACACACAGAGAGAGAGAGAGAGAGAGAGAGAGAGAGAGAGAGAGAGAGAGAGAGAGAGAGAGAGAGAGAGAGCTGTTCCCAGCACACACTCCTCTAAGGGGTTCTTCTCTGTCCCTCTTCTCCCCCTCTCCCCCCCCCCCCCCCCCCTCTCTCTCTCTCTCTCACTTCAACTTTCCTTTGCAACACTGGTCCTCAGGTAGACAGCAGAAAAATATTAATGGAGTGGGGGGGGTGGAAATGGGTGCAAGGAGAATGTAACGTAAAACACCAACCCATTATAAATTAAGCAGTAAAAATAAAAAAAATAAAAAAAGCGAGAGAGATGGGATCTCCAAATGAAACGAGATGCTGCTTTCCGATTAAGGAAATTCATCTCGGCATCAGCAACAGCCAAGGAAACAGAACAAAACGAAACGGGGGAAGGGGGGGCACATTTAAAACGAGGCGAAGAAGGCAGAGTGGTGGAAGAGGGGGGAAAAAGGAGAAACGTGTCAGATTGTAACATATGGAACCATACATGTATTTTTAAATACTTACTTCCCTCATGGATTCTCCTTAGCCATCTACTTCCAGCCATTAAACAATGGAATCCAATTCAAGCCCTGTAATTCCTAAACAGGGTGCTTGGGGAGGAAAGGAAGGGAAACCAAAGAGACAGAGAGAAAACTAATTTAAAAAAAAAAAACTTTTTAGAATGAACCAAAATAATTTCCTTTTAATTCCTCTTTTCTGCCTACCCCACTGCATCTCTTTCCCTCCCCCCCCCCCCCCCCTTTTTCTTCCTTTCTTTTCTCGTGCGTGTGCGTCTGTGTGTGTGACCATAGACGCCCCATACTAATCAGGTCTCAAAGTAAATAGCCGAGCAGGGCGATCTCAGTGTAAATTGTGCTTGTCAGAAGAATCCCCCTCCCTCTTCCTCCCTCCCCCTCGTCCCTCCCTATCTTAGGCAGTAGGTAGCAAAGAATAAAGGCGGGGGGGGAGCGAGAAAGCGAGAGGGAAAGAGACAAGAGAGAGAGGAGACGCAGCCAATGGAGTGAAGGAGGCTTGGCTAACCTTAGCCTCCCATTTTCTCTCCCCCCAATTCAGGGCTCTGACCAGTCAGTCGCCTTTGATTATCAGTTGCCAGCAGCCCCTCTCTTGGCTCCTTGACATGAGCTCCATATAAGGCAGCGATCTCCATAGAAACGTGTCAGTTTCAATAGTAGTGTCAAAGTTCACTATATACAGACATTCGCGCAGATCTCCCTTTCGGAAACATTGCTCTGCTAGTCTTCCCGTTGAAACGCATTCATTTTTTGGTTCTCTCTCTCTCTCTCTCTCTCTCTCTCTGCCTCTCTCTCTCCACCTCTCTCTCTCTCCACCTCTCTCTCTCGTTTCTTGCATATTCTATTAGTTGATGTCTCTCCCCCCCCCTCTTTATCTGCTTCTTCCTTCTCTCTTTTTCCACCCTTCTTTTCTTTGAGCCTTTCGCTTCCTTCTCCACGAGACTAGAGAGAGAGGAAACTTAAAAGGAAAGGAGAGAGAAAAAAAGAAAAAAGACAAGACCACAAAGAAAAGAAAAGAGAAAAGAGCAAAGGGGACGCCTTTTTAACATCTTCATATCGTTCGGTTTTTAACTTTTTTTTTTTTTTTACTATTTGGGGGAGGGCTTTAGCCTTGGCTGCTGAAGGTTTTTGTGCCTGCCTGCTTCTTTTTTTTCCCCCACTCCGATTATTTTTCTGAAGAAAAAGAAAAGGAAAGGAAAAAAAAAGGAAAGAAAGAAAGAAGGAAGGAATTGAGGCAAGGAACGAAGGAAAAAAAGAGCGAGGGCGCGCGCGAGAGAGAGGAGCGGTTTTCTCGGGCGATCTCCGGTGATTATTTGCCACCAGCACGGAAGAAGAAAGGCGGCGAGGGAAGCGCCAGGAGAAGCGGGTTTATTTATTCGACCTACTTTGGATTTCTCGCTCGCTCGCTCGCTCTGCTTTGGCTTTTGCCCTCCCCTCCGCGCGCGTGTAATCTTCGCTCCTCTCCATGTTCGCTTTTGGCGTTGGCACTTGGCTGGGGAGCCTCCGTCTGCCGGGCGAAAGCGAAGCTGCTGGCTTCGCCTTGGTAGATTTTCCCCGAAATTAAAAGGAGGGAGAGAGAAAGGAAGGAAGGAAGGAAGGAAGGAAGAGGGAGAAGGCGAAGGAGAGAGCCGGGCGAAGAAAGAAGCGGCGGCGGCTGCAGCAGGAGCCGAGGGACTGCAAAGAACGGCGGCGGCGGCAAGAGAGCCCCAAAGTGCCTCCTCAACTCGGCGCCGGCCTCCGCGCCTGCCTGCTTTCCGGCGTCCCCGGAGCTTCCCGAAGCGGCTCTGCTGAATGGCTGACTCCGCGGCGCTGCCTTGGACCTGGCCCCCGGACACCCGCGCCCAGCCCTGAGCGGCAGCTCCGCCTCGGCCGCTTCCTCGCCGGCCTCCCGCCCTTCCCAGGCTCGCGGCGGGGACGAGCGCGATCCAAGCGGCGGGCCCCGGCGGCGGCGGAGGCGGCCGCAGCAGCACCGGCAGCCTTCCTAGCAGCGGCGGCGGCGACAGAGACAGAGGCGGAGGCGGCGGAGGCGGCGGCGGCGGCGGTGGAGGCAGCCTCCTGGCGGTCTTCTCCCTCTCGGCTCCCTGCGTCTCTCCGCCCGCGGTGCCAGCTGCTCGCCCGCTCGGACGGTACGGGGCTGTGGCCGGCCCGGACTGGGTCGGGCGAGCCCATCGCCTCCTCTTCCTCCTTCCCTTCCTCTTCCTCCTCCTCCTCCTCCTCCCTCTCCCTCTCCTCCCCAGGGTGACCCTCCTGAATGCCTTTCCCGACAGCCCGCTTCGCCCCGCTCGGGTTTGCAACTTGAAGAAGGACGCCTTTCTGGGGGGAAGGAAAGAGGAGGAGGAGGAGGAGGAGGAGGAGGAGGAAAGGCTCTGGCCGGGCGGCACAGAAACGCTCCCCGAGCCTTTGGGGTGGGGGGTGGGGGAGACCGCCGAGAAGCCTTGAAAGCTCGCGGGAATCCCATCGCCCCTCTCCCGAGGAATCACCCCGAATTCGAGGCGGGGAGAGGGAAACCGCGGGAGCGGGGAAGGCGAGGCAGGAGACGAGAGGAGAGGAGGAAGAAGGCAGGAAGGAGGGCAGGCGGGGGGCAGGGCAGGGGAGAGAAGCGGGAAGCAACCAGCCGAGAGAGCAGGCAGCGGCGGCCGTAGCAGCAGCAGCAGCAGCAGCCAAGCAAGAGGAGTCCTGAGCCTTCGCTCCTGCTCTCCTCCTCCCCCCCCCCCTAAGCAGTCCGGCCGGAGAAGCCGCTTTCTCCCCCACCCCACCCCTCCCCCACCCCGCCCCCGCCCCCCCCCCCCCCCCGGCCTTCCCCCCCGGCGGCCCCCCCCCCCCGTTTTTTTTTTTTCCTCCGCGGGCCCGAGATATGGCAATGGTAGTTAGCAGCTGGCGAGATGCGCAAGAGGACGTGGCCGGGGGCGGCCCCACCGGAGCAGCTCAGCCGGGCCGGGATCCGCAGCAAGGGGCCTCGGCGGCCCCCCACACGCCGCAAACGCCGAGCCAGCCGGGCGCTCCGTCCACGCCGGGCGACAAGGGCCAGCAGCAGCAGAGCTCCGGCCAGAGCCAGCAGCAACAGCAGCACATCGAGTGCGTGGTCTGCGGCGACAAGTCCAGCGGGAAGCACTACGGGCAGTTCACCTGCGAGGGCTGCAAAAGTTTCTTCAAGCGGAGCGTCCGCAGGAACTTAACGTACACTTGCCGGGCCAACCGGAACTGTCCCATCGACCAGCACCACCGCAACCAGTGCCAATACTGCCGCCTGAAGAAGTGCCTCAAAGTGGGCATGAGGAGGGAAGGTGAATATGATTTCCTCCCTATTCTACTCCAGATTGGTGTGTGGAGGAGCGGGTCCCGGAGAAGGGAGGGGGAGACCTGCTGCCCCCCCACCCGTCCCCTTCGCCCCCACATCGCAGCTCCCCGCTCCATCCGCAGATTATTAGTACTCCTATTATTAATATTAATATTAATATTATTATTATTAATATCAGCACCCAAGGCTACCGAGCGTATGAGTCGACTAGTCCTATCGCTCTCTGCCTCTGCCTCTTTCTCTTCCCCACGCCTGCCTTTTTTTTTTTTTAAATAATAACAATAACTCGGAATTGAGGAAGGAGGAAAGGGACACATAAGCAGCCCTTTCTTTCCATCCTGGCTTCTCCTGCCTCGTTTCGCTATTTCTAATTCCTGTTAAATCGGGAAGGGCGGCGGATGGGAATCCTAACTTCAGACGAGTCAAAACTTCCTCGCCTCCCCCAAAGAAATGTGTTTCAAGGCTGTGCGTGCGTCTGTCTGTCTGTGTGTGTGAATTGTGCCGCTTGTATTGCTTCTTTCTGCCGCCTTCCTCACCTGCTAGCTACTCCTCGTTTTCCAACATCTGGCCTTTGCCGAGATTCCTTTTTCCTCTCGTGCTTTGGGAGGAAAGTTTGTGAATGTGTTCTGTTTTCTTTTTTTCTTTTTTGTACTTTTGTCATTTCACCAACCTCATCCTTCTGTGTGCTCTTCATTTCATTTCCCCAAGACATTCCCCATTGTCTCTTAAATACAGTACTACTTACCAGTTGCAAACCACCCCAAGTCAATGATTGCTGTGTTTGTTGTTGTTGTTGCTGTTGTTGCTATTGTTGTTGTTGTTACCATAAAGCATAGCTTCTTTCTGGATTGTGCTGGTCAATGTTTGAAAACAAACACAAATACTTCCAGTGTTGTAATAGCAAGGTTCTTCCCCCACCCCAAATAGAAAGATTCTTCCCCCATCCTTTTATAATACGTTTCCATCTACTTTTTATTTTTCCTTTACCCAGGTTAACTGCAATATATGCAAGCTCTGATTTAAAATGTCCTAAGTGTCAAATAGATCAAATAATTCATTTTCTGCAGTGAAAATTTGAAAAAAAAAATGTTAAAATACTTTCTCCCTTGTGCCATAGCAAAAAAGGATTATTTTTTTAAAAAAACTGTCCACTGATGACTTCATTTGTAGCTTCAGCCAGCTTTTGTCAGGAAAGACATCTTGAAGAAACATAACTAGAAATTAATCAGTACAAAAATATATGAAGGAGATAAATCCGCCACTATTTTTGAACTGTGTTTGAAATGCACAGCTGCAGCTTTGGAAATCTAAACTATAGTAACAGAAATCGAAGTGAGGTTCTGACAGCAAGACAGAAATACCCTGATTGAAAATGATTAAAATATGCAATGGTGTGAAACAGAAAGTATTAATTGAGAGGGTTAAAATATTCACCAGAGGCTCTCTCTTCACCTTGTCACCTTTATATTTATAAGTCTCAAGTTAGAATTTTTTGGCCTCGATTAGTAGTAGGTCGACACACTTACGCCCTTACACACACACACACACACAAACTTTGTTCAGCTTTAAATAAATCCAAACACGCTTACATTTGGGACAGTGGCTGCATCCATGGCATTCGAGTAGTACGTGCAGGCGTGTGTGTGTGTGTACGTATGTATGTGTTGTGCAGGCTGCACGGTTGCAAATGTTTGTCTTCCCTGGCCAAAGCAGTAGCAAGTTGGTGCTTTCTGGAACCATACAATTAAAGACTTGGCGTTCTCCTTCCCTCCTTGCCGCTCATGTTTGGCTTCTGTAAGTTCACAATTTATTTTAATCCATCTCTTTTAACAGTAACAAACTCCCCACCCCCCACCCCTCCATCCTTTTAAATACAGGACGTTCCATTTAAATTGGGCAGAGGCTTGCCTCTGGTTGTGTGAGTAAATGTGTGTGTGTGTGTGTGTGTGTTTGGTGGGACTGGGACCTGATTGTTTAGGCAAGAGTAGCAAAGCCTAAGGAGAGCCCTGACACCCCCCTCCCCCCTCCCCCTTCCCAGTTTGGTAGCCTTATTGTGCGATTCCGGACTGGCAAATAAAGGGAAAGCTTGGCTGGAGGGTAGTTTGCAATCGCAGCAACTTTGAGCACCGAGTGGGCTCAAGAAGACTCAGAATGTCTTACTGGGTCTCTGGAAAGACGAAGCGGGAACATTTTGCAGGTGGGAACCTGATACACGGTTGTTGTTGTTGTTGTTGTTGTTGTTTAAGCGTTGGCAGAGGCAGCTTTGAAAAGCTTGTGCTTTTATCCGTACCACCTTCTTCTTCACCATCCTCACCATCATCATCTTCTTCTTCTTATCATCCTCATCCTCTTCTTCTTCTTGCGGGGGGGGGAGGGAGACAAGGCAACCTCCCTCGCAGGAGCATCTGGGCGTCCCCATTTGCACAACAATGCAAGGTTGCGGGAGAGTGGGGGGGCTTACATTGTGTGTGTGGGGTGTGTGTGTGTGTCTGTATGTCTGCCTATCACCCATACGCATACCTTCGGATTTGTGTGTGTTTGCGTACGCCAGAAGGAGCGCGCCTGGGAGTGAGGGAGTGTGTGTGTGTGCGCGGGCGCGCGCGTTGCTTGGGCTGCCGCCGCTGCTGCTGCTGCTTTCGCCTTAGCGCGGGGCGAGGGCTGCCTGGAGGGCTGGGGTTTGTCCAGGCTGCCGGATGCACATTTCCTCTCCTTTTCTCTCTCTCTCCCTCTTTTCGTCAGCGGTTCAGCGAGGAAGGATGCCTCCGAGCCAGCCGAACCCGGGCCAGTACGCGCTGACCAACGGCGACCCGCTGAACGGCCACTGCTACCTGTCGGGCTACATCTCGCTGCTGCTGCGAGCCGAGCCTTACCCGACGTCGCGCTACGGCAGCCAGTGCATGCAGCCCAACAACATCATGGGCATCGAGAACATCTGCGAGCTGGCGGCGCGGCTGCTCTTCAGCGCCGTCGAGTGGGCCCGCAACATCCCCTTCTTCCCGGACCTGCAGATCACCGACCAGGTGGCCCTGCTGCGCCTCACCTGGAGCGAGCTCTTCGTCCTCAACGCCGCCCAGTGCTCCATGCCGCTGCACGTGGCCCCGCTCCTGGCCGCCGCCGGCCTCCACGCCTCGCCCATGTCTGCCGACCGCGTGGTGGCCTTCATGGACCACATCCGCATCTTCCAGGAGCAGGTGGAGAAGCTCAAGGCCCTGCACGTGGACTCCGCCGAATACAGCTGCCTCAAAGCCATCGTCCTCTTCACCTCAGGTCAGGGGGCCGGGCTGGGCTGGGCGGGCTGGAGGAGGGGAAGCAGGCCCTCCCTGGCCTTTCCCCCGAGCCAAAGATCGCTCGGGCCTAGCCAGCAGGCCTCGCTTATTGGTGGTGGTGGTGGTGGTGGTGGTGGTGGTGGGCCAGGGCAGCTTCCTTAGGTTCTGCGTGAAATTGGCAAAGGGAAGGCTTAAGGGATGCTCCTGTGGCTGCCTTGGCTGGAGTTTGGCTTCCAAGCAGTGAGTAAATTAAAATGTGCAAGAGAAAAAGAGAGAAAGAGAGAAAAGGGAAGAGGGAGAGGTTTAAAACCTTAGGCAAGGTTTTTCACCAGAGCTTGTTGAACAGGAAGGCTGAGATACAAATAAATCTTCCATATTACTCTTTATTGCTCTGTGGTTCCCCCTTCCCCTTTACCGGAAAGTATTCATAATTCCAATTGCTGTGATCAGAGGAGCGGGTAAAAATTGACCTGAAGGCCCAAACTCCCCCCCCCCTCTCTCTCTCCTTTCCTGCTTAAAAAGAAGTGTTCGCCCCAAGATTTGTGGAGATATTTTCTTACCTTTTTCTCAAGGTTCCAGCCCCTTTTTTTATTTTCTTTCTCCCCCATTTCCAAACATTTCTTCTTTCTCTAGTTTCTGTACTTTCTCATCTCCAAGCTCTGGTTCACAGAAAAAAAAATACATAAAAACACACATAAAAACACACTATAACCAATACTAACAGATTAGTTGCAACCCCCCCCCCAAACCCCCACCCAATTAAATTAGAAACAGGGATGGATAATGTGCTGGTCCATAATTTTGTTTATGATAGATGGCTCAAATTAACTTTGCAAAAGAGGATATTAACCTCACGTTTGAAGTGCTCTGGTTGAAATCTATAAAAATGCAGGCATCTTTTTATTATTGCAAACCCGGTTGAGCCATATATCAACAAAATCAAAGATTTATGGATATGATATACAAGATGGCCTTTGGGCCTTACTGGAAAGGTATGGCTGTCTGTGAGTTAAATTTGCACTCTACACAGGACAATCACCTGCTCAAAAATAAATGCCACTGAATGCAACAGAATTTACTCCTAAGTAGGATTGTGTGAGATTGAAAGTTCATGGGAATAGTTGTGCTGTTGTCTTTTTTTTTTTAATTATTTTTGCCTGCTTTAGTACTAATACATTTCCCCTTAAATCTGCAATACACAAAAGATTTCATTGGCTGGACTTGCTGAAATTTCTGATTGAGAGGAAGAATCTATCAATATTTCTAACCTCACGTGCCTGAGAAGTAGTATTTACATTGTGGCCAAACGACTCTTAAATTTGTGCAAAACTGTAATGTAGCAAACATACGTAGTATTAATATCGATTTGAACACTGGATAATTTATTTAGATGGGGACTCATTGGTATGCGCAGTGCTCAGAGAGGTGGACTGTGACTGCCCCCCCTTGTTCCTCTGGCTGCAAATGCAGGGCTGGGAGTGAAGACTCTTTTCTTTGCAAGAGGATCAAGTGCAGATCTTAAAACAAATGGGGAGATTTACGAAGCAGCCTTAGAGACACGGTTTGGGCCTCCATTTATCTTTGGCCTGGTGGGGTTTTTTTTTTTGTTGTTGTTGTTTGTTTGTTTTGTTTTTTGTTTTTTTGTGGCGGAAACTTGTGTTTTTTCACAACTGACAAAAAGGGACCCTGCTGGCATTTTTCAGGGTGATTTCAACTGCAGCCTCACATACTTTTTCTTAACCCATTTATTCCTTTGGAGACAAGGGGGACAGGACAAAGGGCAGAAATATTCAGATGAGTTTTAAAACAGAAGCTTTTAAGCCAGAAAGGTAAAGAAAGGTGGTTGCTTAAAAGGGCTTCACTGAAAGGGTCCCCAGATTAAAAGGTCTGGCACCTCCCCCCCCCCTCCGTTATCCTCAAGGCTCAGGTTTACCTGGCTGATTTAATAAAGCAGATATTATTGCTATATATTTCGGGGGAGTTCAGAGCAATGTTAAATTGTTCATAATTATTCATTTAGTAACAATAGGTACACTGGAATAGCATTTTCCAGCATGACCCCTTTGATGGTTCTTTCCCATCCACCCCCACATTCCCCCACTTCCAACCACCCCCTCCTTTCAGTTTTCATATACACTCATTTCCACTTGGGCTAATCTTGTTTTGATTGCTGGCCAGAAGGTAATTGATGGCAAATCTTTCATCAAGCCATCCAACTTTTTAAGCAAACTTTGATGGATGGAAAAAACATTTTTAGCCACCTGGTCCCAGAGGCTTAACTCAGCAATCTGATCCTAAATGTAAAATAAGTCTTGCTTCAAAATCATTGGGTTTTTTAGATGAGAGATCAGTGTTTAAGCCTGCTTGGAGATTTGTGTATTTCTTATATATTTTATTTATTTATTTATTTGATCACCATCATTTGGACTTCAGAATATTTTTGTTCAGCCATAAAAAGTTTGGAGACTATCCTCAAGCTAAACAGCACCTTAAAAGTAACCAGCATGTTTACTTTTCACACCAATATGCTGATTTCCTTAGCAAATGTATTTTTAATTAACACATGGGAGTGCACATCCCTCTACAACTTAGAATTATATTGGTAATATTACCCACAGAAATATCAGAGCAGGTCAGATGTATAAACCTATCTCCCAGGCAGTAACAAAATGTTGATTTCTCATTTTCCTATTTTGCAAACGGGGGTGTGTTTTTTCTTTTTTCTTTCTTTTCTTTTCTTTTCTTTTCTTTCTTTCTTTCTTTCTTTCTTTCTTTTTTTTTTTTGGAGCACTTAAGGCTCCTAGGTGCATTAGATAAAATATGTACCACCTAATAACAAAAGCTGGTTGACATGTGCTATGTAGTCATTTTTTATTTACTTATATCGTTTCTCTGCCATTGATTGGAAAGGAAAATACAAAGAAATAATGACTGCAGGGGAAATTATAACCGCTTAAGAAAATGAGAGAAACACCGTTTCTATGTCCATCACCTTCTGCCTTCCTAGTCTCTTCCTCTCCTTTCTTTTCTCTCTTCGCAAAGAAGTAAGCAAAGAAGTAAGCGAAGGAGGCGAATATCATCACTCTCCTTCTTTGGTCTACTATTTCATCTCAACTCAATCAGCTGATCGATCAGAGAGCCCAGATTGTTTAATTAATTTTCAGATTGTCTGGTCGAAAAACATCCCCTCGATCCAGACGTGTTTGCTGGGGAGGAGAGAATTACCTTGAGTGCGAGGAGTGCCAAGTAAATTCAAAGCCCACCCCTCATGCACTAGGTAGGAGTACAGCTTGAAGAAGAAGGAAGGGAGGGGGAATAACAGAAGAAGATATGTTTTATTAAGCATCTGTTGGATATATTAAGGAGAAGGGGAGGGGAGCTTTGTCGATGCTCTTTTCTCACAATCCCAGTGGTGGCCTCAAGCTGGAGAAAGCAGAAGCAGAAATAAATATTTCACCAATCCAGAGAATAGGGCAGGGAGCCTCCAAAGAGATGTGCTGAGGCAACCAGACCCTTTCATCCTGCCTTATTTAGAAGTTGCCTGAAACTGAAGACCCTGGCGGAAAAGGGCAACGTGGCAAACGGGGGAGTAGAAGCTAGAGGGTTTAGGGGAGGAAGATCTCTTAGTCACAGCTAAAGAAGATAGTGACTCTTCACTATAATGGACCACAAATAAGGGCAGGTCTCTGTTGCATGACGTCTGTGCATTGCAATCTCCCTCCTTCCCTCCCTCCTTTCCTCTCTCTCTCTCTCTCTCTCTCAGACCTACATTCTCACTCTCTTTTTTCTCCCCGCACCTCCTCCCCTGATTTTAGATGTTGCAAATGATCACTGCATTTAAGGCAAAAGCATGGATTAGCACAACAGTCGGGCGTGCGTAATTGTACATCTAAGCGCTCCTTAGTCTGTAGCTGGGGTCAGGAAGGTCTTTTCCTCAGAAGCGTTTGAATTATGGCTTGGTTTATTTCTATTTTCGCTTGAGGCCAGAAGCGTGGGCATGAAGGTACCTGGCAATCTTTTGAAAGGCCCGGCCTGAAAACGGGAGATCCCTTGTCACCAAACTAACATACGCGACCCCAGCTAAAAACAACAGCTCAGAAAGAATTGTGCAAATAATTTTTCCTTGCCTTTTTCTAAGGTGTTACATTTTTAAGCTCTGTTTAGGGGACCCTCCCCCAGATTAATACATTCGTACACACATACATACACACACGCGCACATACACACACACACACCATTCCCACACACGCGCGGCCGCGCGCGCGCGCGCCCACTCTCACGCACGCACATCTATCTCAAAAGCTGCTTTGATCTCCGCTAAACCGCCCTGCTAGGTGACGGCTGCCTTGTGATCATGATGTTTTGAAATATTTATTATTGATAGAAGAAAACAAGTTGCGAATCTGAACAAGGCAGACGACAGCGGCTCCCCGCTTCCCTGCCCGAAGCACCCGCCGCTTATGCGCAGGTGGCTTCTTCCCTCCCCCCCCCCGCTTCTGTTCCTTGGACCCTTGTTTTCTCTCTCTCTCTCTCTCTCTCTCTCTCTCTCTTCTCTCTCTCTCTCTCTCTCTCTCTCTCTCTCTCTCTCCTGTTTTTAAAACCCGAATAATATTAATAATAATAATAATAATAATAATAATAATAATAATAATAATAATATAACATCCTCCGATGATACCTTAACAGTTCCTAGGTCCTTGGTTAGGACTCGAGCTGCTGAGCTATTAACCAGCCTCAAAGGCTGTGAATCTCACTAAAGATTAACCAGTAATAATAATAATAGGGAAGCAGTCGGAAAGCTACTAGCAAGGATAGCTTGCTACCTCGGCCCTCTTTTTTTAACCCTACGAGGAAGGAGGGAGGGAGGGAGGGGGGTGAGATATATATATATATATATATATATGGGGGGGTCTCTCTTATGCAGTTTTCTGGCTCCGGGAAACGCGTATCCTTCCCCTCCGAAAGAGAAACTGGAGCTAGGCACTTTCCCCACTCTCTGGAGGCCTCCTTTCCCGGCTCTAGCTGCAGCCTCCCAGCTCGGGCCAGGCAGGCGGCGCAGCTTTGTGAAGGCGAGCGAGAGCAGCTGCGGGAGAAGGAGCCTTCTTAGCGCAAGGCGGGTGAGGAGAAGCGGGGGGGGGGGATGAAGGGCAGAGAGCTGAGCCATTTTCCCGGCGCTGATTATCCGGCTTCCAGAGTCGCCACCAAATTTCAACGGCTCTCGATCCGTCTCTCGATCCGGAGACAAAGCGAGCGCTAGTCTAACTCGCCTTCTCTCTCTCTCTCTTTCTCTCTCTTTCTCTCTCAGCCTTCCTCGCTTCCCCCCCCCCCCCATTCTCCCTCTCCCGGAAATGGAGGCGGCCGCCTTTGGTGCGAGCGGGGCTCGGATCCTTAGCCTAGCCTGGGTCGGTTCTCTCGTCTGCCTGCGCAGCCCCTGACCACCACCCCCCATTCAGCCCACCCCGGCCGGAGCCTTTCCCGAGAGCGTGGAGGGGGGCGCGGAAGCGTCCTGGGGTGACTGTCCACGAAGGATTTCCTCCCCACTCCCCCACTCTCCGACACCCCCCCCCTCCACGCACAGCTGGCTGGGCCTGGCGGCCTCCCTCCCCTCCTCCCCTCCCTCTCTTTCGCTCTCTCTACGCAAGGGAGGGCAAGTGCGCGTGTCCACCGGCTAACAATAGGATGCAACTCTCAGCGAAGGAAGCGAGGCCTCGGCCCTTCCTGGCGTCTGCAGCCGCGTGGCTGCAGGGCCGGGAAGGGTGGCTCCGGTTCCCCACTCCTCCTTTCCTTCCCTCCCTCCCTTTTTTCCCCTCTTTTTTTTTTTTTTTTAAAGAGACGCCAGTCAGGTGAAGAAGGCACCGGGGAGGGCTGTCAGGGCTCCCTGGGGGTCTCCGGTCGGGAGAGGATGGGGTGGGATGGGGGCTCGAACTGCCGGCTAGCCGGGATGGGCAGCCCTCGCTAACCCTCTTGCCCTGCTCTCTCTCTCTCTCTCTCTTTCGCCCACGCTGCTTCTCCGGATGGCCGGACAGATGCCTGTGGCCTGTCGGACGCGGCGCACATCGAGAGCCTGCAGGAGAAATCGCAGTGCGCCCTGGAGGAATACGTGCGCAGCCAGTACCCCAACCAGCCCAGCCGCTTCGGCAAGCTGCTCCTCCGGCTGCCTTCCCTGCGCACCGTCTCCTCGTCGGTCATCGAGCAGCTCTTCTTCGTCCGCTTGGTAGGTAAAACCCCCATCGAGACGCTCATCCGAGACATGCTGCTCTCCGGCAGCAGCTTCAACTGGCCTTACATGTCGATCCAGTGTTCCTAGAGCAGCCCTTGGCCGCCCCCCACCCACCGGCACCCCCGCTTAGCGACCCGCCACGGGCCTCGCGGCTGGGCGGCCAGAGGGGGTGGGGGTCCCGAGGAGAGAGAGAGCGCGAAAGAGCAAAAGAAAGGGACCCACGGACGCCCCACTTCCCCAAGGCCGGGAGCCCGGAAACCTCGTCTTGAAGGAGAGACTGGCGGAGGCTGGCAACTCCGGCCCGGCGGCGGTGGCCAAAAAGGGGGGGGCAGCTCGCCTGTGTGGAACCAACGGCGACCCCGAGGTGGGAGACTTTTAAAACGAAGGAACAAAACAAAACAAAAATAATAACAATAGCAAAGACCGAAGGGATTTTCTCATTGTACTGCCTGCCCGCCCGCCCGCCCCCCCCCCCTCCGAAAAAGAGAGGAAAGAGGAAGAGGAGGAAGAGGATTAGATGGATTTTCCTGGATTGGTCACGGACCGAAACGGTGATCAACTGTACAGCAAACACGGTTTTAAGCAACGAAACTGAAGCCGAACTGAACCGAGGGGGAAGGGGAACGGGATGGGGGGGGGGATCCACAGGGACACACTGACCACGAACATTGTTCTTCATTTTGTAAAATATTAGTCTTTATTTTCACTTTTTTTGTAAAATTTAAAACATGGTTATGCGCATAAAGGAGAGAAGAAAAACCAACACAAGAAACAAAAAAATTTAGGGAGGGGGAAATAACGTTTTTCCAAATAATTATTAAAAAAAACAAGGAATTGTTCTGTGTGTATGTATCTATATCTGTTTTGTATTTTTTTTTTCTGGTTCCAAACCAGGCTTCCTGTGATTCTATACTAATAATTTTTGATATAACCCTTTGCTTCTTATAATGAGTGCGATATATGTTGTCGAAGCTGTTCTTCAAGAATTAAAAAAAATTGAAGTGAGAATTTAAGCAAAAATAAAAGAATTTAGCAAAAAGAACAAAAGGCAAGAACACCCTGAAGGACCACCGGAGTCCCGCTGCCCTCCCCCAATCTGTGCTCCTTGGAGCTCCCCTCCCCACTTGGTTGTCTGTGGAGTTGGGGGGGGTCCTGCTTTCCCTCCCCCACACCAAATCCTTGGTTTGCAGCTTCCACCAAGAGTTTCAAGGGGCGGGAATGGGGGATAACAGGTTGAACCTGGTGTCTAGCGAGGTGCCTCTGTCTCTAGGCGTTCCCACGCCAATTGGTCTGATGTTACAAGGCTTGTGACTGAAGCTGACGAAACAGGAAAAGTTGGAGAATCCCTTTAACAGCCTGCTGGTGGCCTTCTGTGTGCATGATCTGGAATACCGATGGGGATGCTGTATGTGATGGTGGGGGTGGGAGAAGGGAGAGTGCCTTTGGACTATCTTTGTCGGGGTTAAATAATTTTTTTAATGGGTCTTAAGCTCCCTCACACCCCAATATCAGTTAGTGTGGCTTCAGGTTTCTAGGTCCTTTCAGAGAAAGTGATCTGGTCTTCAGAGGGTGTAGGGGAGCAAAAGAGAGCTGGAGATACAGATGTCTGGTGCTCCGTTCAGACCCAAGGACAGACCTGTGTCCTTCCACGGATGGGGGCGGGGAGGAACATTGAGGAGTCTCCTTGAGGCTTCTCCTTCATTTGAACACCGAGGAATGAAAGCTCCATCCCCCCCCACACACACACACCTTCTTCCTCTCCCCCCTCCCCCTCCCCTCTTTCAAGTGCATCAACAGATTCTCAGGGCGCGGAACCCCTTTTGAAGGCAACAACTTTCCCAGGGCTTGGAGCTGGTCTCTGCCAATCCCGGTAACAGCTTTCAGCGCATTAATGTTTTATAGGATCTGAGATGGAGCTGTAAGAAGCCAGGCTGCCAAGGGAGCTCTTTCTTAACGTATTAATAAAGCCGGATCTTTAAAAATAACATTCGTGCAACTCTCCCCCCCCCGCCCACGTCCTCTCTCTCAGCTTCTCTTCCTAGCCCGCCTAACTAGGAAGGTTCGAGATAAGGCAGGATTTTCAATTACAGAAATTAATGGCAGGTTTGCCCCCAATTAATGGGCTGCCCGCATTCCTGCACCTTTTTCTTTTCATTAACAAGCTTTTCCAGTCTGACTCACTTGACTTCCTTCCTTCCTTCCTTCCTTCCTTCCTTCCTTCCTTCCTTCCTTCTTCAGTATTCCAAACACAAGAGATCCTAGGAGATTCAGCGAATGAGCCCAAATTTCTAGGAGGAGAGCATTTACAGCTGCATAATCACTGTTGTCAGCCCCTAGTCTGAAAGGCTAGCCCTTGTCAGGAATCAGAGGGCAGCTTGGCTTTCATCTGTTTCAGCGCTGCCTAAAACTGAACTGGCCACGTCCTTCTAATTTTTGCAGAGTGGGACCAGAGAAACCTACCTTTAGAATCAGACGCTTTAATTTATTATGTATTAGTCTTTGATTGACCTTCCATTATCTAGCCCTTGGTGGCATGAAGGTCCTTGAGAAACCTCAAAGCAGCCTCAGAATTATAAGACAGATTCCAATTCATAAAACCAGGCTATGATTTCTCAGATCATTTTTCTTTTTCTTCCCCCCATCCCCCACCCTGACTCATTTTTCAAGATCCATAATACGAATAACTCTTCTAAATCTGGAAGGAAGGAAAAAGTCTAGATGAGGTGTGGGGAAAGGCCTTGGTTTTACAGGACTGAGGTTTTCTTTTTATTTCATTTCCAAAGCTGTAATATTTGGAATGTGGCCTTCCCAGTTTGTTTTAAGAAGGGAGGGAGAAACCAAAGGATGCTTGTTGGAAACATTGGGCCAGTAGGTGCACAGAATCTCAGCTGGCCAGCTGCCTTAGTAAAAAAAAAAAAAAAGCCTTTTGCTTCTAGTCATACAGCATGATATCTTTAGCTATGCCAAAAAAGGAAGGGGAAGGTTTTAGAAACCAAAGCTATCTTCCAAGGTTATCTAAATGCTGTGGGCAGTATTGAAACTAGCAGTAACAATGAACAAAATAAATAAATCCGCAAAGTATCTCCTGCCCACTGTAGAAGTGGGTGTGGTTGCCAAATAAACCTTGATTTGCATTCGAGGCCAGGGAGCCACTTATGCTGCAGTTCTATGACCTTGAGTCCATCTTTGCTGCAGTGACAGAGTCTCTTCTTCCCAAACAGCCTGGCCTCTTCCTGCTCTTTGATTTCAATCTAGCCTTTTCCAGACAGACTTAACTTTGGGGTGTTCTGAAATGACTCCTGGGAATTTCAGGAACTTTGATAAGGGATGTTATGTGTGTGTGTGTGCGTATGTGTCATTTTGCAAAGTGAAATGGTGGCTTTAAGCATACAACTCTATTTTTCTCCCCAAATCTCTGAAATTTAAAGCTGTCTCTAAAATAGCACTTTTTGTACGCCCTGCACTCACTACAGGCTCTTTTTTGTACATTTGTTGCCATATTCAAGACAACAAGCTTTAGAGGTCCCTACACGCCTTCAGGAGAAAAGGGCTTACATCTTCCTAAGGGGGGGGGGGACTCAGCATTTTGTTGACAGCTGAACACTGGAAGTGCTTAAAGTAAATGAACCACCCTTCTTTCAACCTGGTACCCTACGGATCTTATTGACTACACATCCCAGCATCTCATGTCAACAGGAGCAGGGGTCTTTGTTAGTTGTGGTAATGGGAATATTGACCCAAGATATCAGAAGAAACCACGAAGTGGTAAACTGATTTTTTGGGGGGAGGGGAAGGGGAAATAGGGGAATGGATGCTACCAAGATTGGTAAACACTTGGTCATCAACTGGGTTTAATTTGGTTGTAGGCCTTTGGATGATGAGTGGAATTCAGCCACAGCCAGTTTAGTTGTTGCTGCTTTTTTTAAATTAAGGCAACATGCCTGGGCTCCCATAATTGCTATATGAGAATTATCTGTGGCCATTTATATATATATATAAACCAAACGAAGCTGGAAATTGGGGGGGGGGGAGAGAGACTGAAGAATAAAAGGAAGAGAGAAAAGGGACTATTGGCTCATGCTTAAAAGAGGCAATGAACAAGTGTATTTTGGACAGGCTCCTCCATGTAAAAAGTAGCAGTAATATACCAAAGAAAACATCTATAAGAAGTTCAAGCTAAAGACTTTTCTTCACGCTGTTAAATTTAGTTAGCCTGCTCCCTTTTAAGTCCCATCATCATGAAGTAACTCTAGTCAGCATATGATTTTTTTTTTAATTTAGAATTTTACCTTCAAGTCAAATGATTTTTCTTGGCAGATAAAATGTTTGCAGAGGATGAGAGTTTTACATTTCTCTGCAGTTAACTGGAAAAAACTTAGAGTTAAACTCTTCTGGGATTTTTTTAAAAAATAAGAGTTTAAAAGTATCCCTTCATCCGAATTTGCTGTAGTACCTGGGGAGTTAGGTTCACCCCTTCTGTTTTAAGAATCCCAGAAGAACTGACCCATAAACCGAGTAGCTTACACCACAAGCCTGGACAGAGAGGGGGAGCCCTACCTTACCCACTCTCGTCCAGGAACAGAATTTGGGTTGAAGTTTGTTTTGTCTCCGGTCTTAGGGTCAGAATGGGATGTTTGATCTTCTTACGGTAGTCTTAACTCTCCACAAAAAGGAGAAGGAAATATATATATATATCTCCAACCCCTTCATCTTCTATCTGACAATGGACTTCAAATCTTATTTTCATCCTTAACCCAAAGAGATTAAAAAGAATGAAATATATTCTGCATCTCCCCTCTCCACCCGGGTCATTAGCCTGCATGTCAACAATTTGAGCTCATCCCACCCCACCCCCCAAGAAGACACACACACACACACACAGTCCGCTAGGAAAACAAGGCGGAAAAAGAAACCAGGTTCATCTTTTCTAATGGGTTTCCAAGGGAAAAGGCGAACGGTCAGCTTAACGACTTTGCCAAGGTCTTCCAGTTTGCCGGGAGCGCGCGGCTGCTTCGCGGGCCTGCCGGGGCTTCCCAACCAGTCCGCGTTTTGACGAGACCTCCCTGAGGTGCTGGGAGGGGGACGGGAGGGGCAGGAGAAAGAAGAAAGGAGGGGGGGAAACACAAATAGACGCCAATAAAACTCTTGTTTAAAAACAAAAAAACAAAAAACCTTGCGCCGGATCCAGGCCGTTTCCGCGCGCTTTGACTTGGGAAGCCAAAAGAGTTTTATTCCTAAATGAGTTAAAGAGCCATTTACCTCTGGCGTCCATTCATCACCGCCACAAGTCGAGAGCCTCGAACATGGGGGCGATTTGTTTGCTTACACAACCAGCTGGGCGCAATTTCACGTCTGAGGTATCTATCTGAAAGCGCCCCTCATTTATTACCCTTACTTGTCAACGGATCCACTTTCAAAGGTGGGATGTGGCTTTGCAAAAAAAAAAAGAAGAAGGAAGGAAGGAAGAGGAGAAGGAAGAAAGAAGAAAAGAAGAAAAGGAAAGGATTGCCCACGGTGGAATGAAGTATTCCCCCCAAATAACAGTTTCCCCCTCCCCAGTTATTCTCCCCTGCAGATCCGGGCCTTCCCGGGCAGAGAAGAGGCCAGCTGGGAAGACCAGAAGATCAAGCGGGGTCCGCAAGAGCCGAGGGGGCGCCCAGCCAGGGCACCTTCCGAGTTTTGCGCTGGCCGCCCGGCTTCTTCTCTGACTCCGGGAAAAGCAGCATCGGCCGCCCAAGAGCCTTTGTGCCAAGCCCGCTTACTCAAACGTAAATCCGGGCGAGGCTGCTGAAGGCTTCCCGGTCCTCTCGTGGAATTGAACCCAGTGGGAGCTCCTCGCCAGTC